TCACTATATGGATGGCCATGCTTATTAACTGTGAAATAGATGTTTGTTCTATATTGCTGTCACAAATGTCAAATAAATTATTTAATAATTTTAAACGTCTTTGAAAAGAATTTACTTGAGTGTAAGTGAAAATGACAAGTGAAAATAATAGTTTTAAGATGAAAACGAAGGAAATAAAATAAGATCGACACATATGGAGCAGTCAACTGACGAATTTACGAGGGGTTATCAGCTTGGAAAATGTTGAACACTACTCTAGTACACATTGTGCTGTAATGCTGCAACTCTGAAGACAGTTTACAAGCGGTATGAGCGATTTTAAAGCGGAAATAAGTCAGTAGAAAACGAGCAACGTTCGGGACATTCATTAACCTCAAAACAGAAGAAAACATGCAACATGTGGCAAAAATTATTCGTTCAAACAGGCAAATAACTATTTAAGAGCTTTTCCAAGAACTTACCAGGAATAGAACCTCGAGACGAAAATTCAGAGTTCTCACTGGAAAACCAATCAATCTCCTCGGCTTACAAAGTCACGTTAAAATCGAATAGCTAAGTCATGCTCATTATTTTTTCGGTGTTAATTTTACAAAGGTATACTGCAACGTTTGCGAAACGAAGAAAGAGACCTGAAAATGGGCCAATGGCTTCCTTTTTCATCACGACAACGCGCCGTGCCACACTTCGTTATTGATTCGCGAGTTTTTGGACCGAAAAAGTGTTCCTGTCTCTCCACATCCGCCTTACTCACCAGATTTAGCACCATACGACTTCTGACTCTTTCCAAAAATTAAAAGCGTGCTTAAAGGAAAACATTTTGACACCATTCCAGTCGTTGAGAGGGCTACGGCATAACAGCTGAATGTTCATCCATTAGAAACCCTCTAGAAATGCTTCCAGTCATGGATTCAACGTTGATAAGTGCATTACTAGCCAAGGACAGTACTTTGCAGGAGATAATCGAGTTCCATGTAAACTTTTTACTTTGTTTCTCTTGAAACACGCTGTAAATATTTTTTAGTTTTGTCATACTTGATAGATTTTTTATTTATTCATTGTCATTAAATAATGTTAAACACTTTATTAGTATTTTTATGTTGTTAGTGGAAATACAACATATTTGTGACGACGAGTAAATGGAACTCACATATTATCTTTCAGCAGATACACTCCACCTCTTCAGTCTAATACATTTTTACATCCTTAAGTTAGGAAGAATATATACATAAAATTGTATCTGCAGATACTTCAGAATCAGGAATCGGAAATTGTTTATTACATAGATTTTCTGATAAAACAATCAAAGCAGTATATACATGTCAAAAACTCTAAAGGTACCATTTCGGTAGGCGCGTCAGGATATAGGAGATCATTGAGGCCACCCTATGGACGACAGATGTATAAATGTTACGCTCCGTACATTTCGGAAGCTTGGAGACGGGTCACGAGACACTTACATTATAACCATTCGAGGGAACGATCAGCGTTGCCAGACCTACTGTTTTTACGTAGATCCACTGTTTTTGTCTCTAGCAAATGGTGTTCTTAATTTATTAAGTTTGCCTCATTCTTCAGCAAATGGTTAAAGAATATTTTCTCTAGTAAATTTTCTGCAGTAAAAGCAGCGTAATAAGGCATCCACTACTGTAGGTTGGCTCCATAAAAAAAACATCAAGATAATCATTGTTTTCATTTAAAATGAAACAAAGAATTAATAGGGTAACATAAAAAGAACATGCATATGCCAAACACTACGATTTTGAATTACCTGATTTAGACTGATCTAAAAGAAGTAGGTACCTATTATTTTTCATTTTTGTTTTGTTTCCGTACGTTAAGTATATATTAAAAATGTTATTATTTGTTTTTATTCTTTGTTTACCTTCTAATTTGGGTCGAAAAAAAAAGTTTATTTTTCGTTTCTTATATACTTTTTTTATTTACTACACTGCAAATTTTAATTATTTCCCCCTGTATTAAAATCTACTGTTCAGATCTACGGTTTTTTTTTCACCCATACTGTTCCAAAATCTGGCAACACTGCCTAGATCGAAAGAAATTTTCAACTTAATCACCTCCAAAATGAAGCGATGCAGCAAACCTTTGCCCCGAGACAGATTCAGAAGTGTCGTCAGGAAGTGTAGTCTTGACGAAATGTGTTTCATATAATTGTATGTATTTTAGATGTGAAGCGACACTTCTCGGTCGCGTCGGCGGTCGTATGTCGCGTCGGCGGTCATATGTCGCGTCGGCGGTCGTCTGTCGGGCCTACCGAAATGGTACCTTAACGGAACAGGAGAAAAGATATCGCCAAATAGAGAAAGAGGCATTAGCATTGGTCTTTGCAACCCAAACATTTCACAAAATAATTTATACCATAAACCATTTATAACAATTTTTAGTTTAAAAAAAAAGGCATCCACACAGCGAAGTGTTTGCAAAGATGGGCATTACATTTTATTGATGTATGATTTCGATATTAAATACACCAATACATCAGATTTTGATCACGCAGATATTTTGTCTAGACTAATAAACGAACACACCAAGATTGATAAAAAATTTATAGTTGCTTCAGTAGCATTAGATGCAGTGATCTATCAAAGTATCCAAGAAACAACATCAAAATTACCAATCACTTTTAAAATGATTCAAGATTCAACAATTTTGGATACAGTTCTTTAACTTGTGAAAGGTTTTATTAATTTGAATTGGCCAAATTCAAATAACTTAACAAAATGTTATTCCCTTTAAAGAGGCATTACTGAAAATTGATGATTGCTTAATATTCAATGATCGGAACATAATCCCTACTAAATATAATCAGTTCTTTGTCAACTTCATCGTGCCCATCGAGGAATAGAACGCATGAAAGCGTTAGCACGATCCTATGTTTATTGGCCAAATATATACAAAGATATCGAACACTTTGTCAAAATTTGTGGACAGAGTGCATCAGTTGCAAGGTCTCCAACAAAAACAGAATTAAAGTCTTGGCCTACACCACGAAAACAATGGCACAGACTACATATTGACTATGCACAATTAGATAAACAATATTGCTTGGTAATTGTCGATGCATATACCAAATGGCCAGAAGTTATTCTGACAACATCAATAACTGCTAAGAATGCTGTCAATATATTGCGATAAGTATTTGCAAGATTTGGTGATACAATAGTTTCAACCCAAATTATCAGTTCTCAATTCAAACAATTTTGTGAAGAGTTTGGTGTCGAACATATTACACAGAAAGAAATTAATATACATATTAAAAAAAAATAAGCATTTTCGGGCTTGTTTTTGAGCCAAGCATGCCACAATCTTTATTTAGGAAAGTATGCATGCTAAAAAATCGATGATTTTACTTTTTGAAAATAACGTTGGTGCTTATTTAAGAATGCCAGGATTCAAATAAAGAATATTTTACTTGAATTAAGAATTAGTCATATTAAATTTAAAATACGCATTCTTAGACAAATTTCTCTCTGTATACAATAGCACCTTTCCACCCTCAGTCTAATGGCCGCTTTGTGGATACAATTAAGCTTGGTATCAAAAAACTGAGGGGAGGAGGTGTTATTAGAAGCATTGCATATATTTTTTATGGAATTAACGTGCTACTCCCAATAAAACTATAGGAGTGTCACCAGCAGAACTTATGTTGGACCGGAAAATAAAAACCCAACTGGACATATTAAAACCAACTCAATGAACTAGTTCTTTTGTAAATGAAAGTCAAAATGAACAGTTTAATCATAACAATAGCCAGAGTAAGACAGTTTAAGTGATTTAGTTTTTGCAAAGGTCTACAGAAACAATTATTTCAATTGGACACCGGGAGCCATTATGAAACGAATCGGTCAGGTAATGTGCAATGTGTTATTAGAGAATGATGCCGTTAGACATTTAAGATTGATTCGTCCGCGTACAAATTAATATTGAGGCCTAGATGAACTACAAATAATTCAGTTTCAAACTCTTGTGTAAATCCTTGCCGTTGGTTTTCATGGATGAATTTACTAAATTTTCCAATGATCACTCAATAGAAAATTATGAAACCTTAGATATTTAATATGTATGACCACCCATGAACAAAACTATCGAAAAGGAAAATAATAGATTCAACACCGCCTTCACTTAGTATGCAGTCAGCTACCAGGAGGTCTCAGCGACAAACAAAACTTCCAAAACTACTGGATAATTATGTGTTGAATTAAAAAAAAGGGAACACGCTGTACATAATTTTTAGTTTTGTCATACTTAATAGATTTTATTTATTCATAGTCATTGTCATTTTTGGAATTAAATGGTAAACACTTATTAGTATTTTTATGTTGGTGTTAGTGGAAATCTCACAGCTTCTAATAAAATTACCGTATGTTTTGATCGTATCTCGTATTGTTGTTATAGATCACCCTGTATATTTGAATTTATTTTAGAAATATGGGTGAGAAACTCATTTAAAACTCATTGTTTATTCACTTCACACTCTATTTTACTTTGTGGATACACATGTTAAAATTAGTTTTTATAATGTTTTGTTTTAAATTATAGCCGTAGATAAATAATATTACTTAAACCCATGTTATTAATAAGAACGATTTGTCAACAACCCACATAGCTATTGTATGTAGGTAAACATTTTTAAATAACCTGTTTATCAGTAAAATCCTATGGCTCCTCTTTTTGTTTAAAGATCATTTCATATTTTGCACACTTGGATGGTTTAGGTCAAACAGTAAATAATATAACTGTTTATCAAATGTTTTTCATGAATCACACCTTAGCTTGCTTGATTACACACACCTCTTTATGCGGTATGTATAAAAATGTCGCGCGCGATCATTCTGACGAGGTTAATATACCTACTACTCAATATTTTTAAATAAATTACAAAATATATGAATGAAATTAAGTTAGAATAATTTATTTAGTTAGTTGCCCAAAATTCTGACTTTTTAATTAACTAACGAGATATTTGTCTGTTTCTGTTACAGTTGTTACAAAATCTTGGCAAAGTGGATCGGACGGCCGACGAAATTTTCGACGAACATTTACAGAACTTCACACGACAACAAAACGCTGCCAATAAACTTCAAAAAGAATTTAGTAATTATATTAGGTGTATAAGAGGTAAGTCAGATTTAAATTTCCTTTAAAAGTTGTCGCGTACATCGATATTTCTTCCCAAGAAAATATTTCGGAAATTCCACATGGATCCGACTTGGAGCCTTTAAGAGCGTTATCCAGTACGCTCCTAACTCTGATTTCAAATCTGCTAAGTAATACGTGACGCAGTTCCTCTCAGCCCAATTTGGCAACGACGCGCGCTCCTTGGTTGTAGAATAGTTTCTCTGAGAGATATAAAAGACGGGTTCGGGTGCGCGTTTTATTTTTTAGTAGATCAAAATTTAGTACAAAAGTCACTTATTGCTCGAGATGGGAAAAATTGGCGGATAATCAAATCAGAGCCTATAGGGTAAATAATCGGGTAAATAAGTGGTATATAAAACGGCCACTTACGACATTTTTCAGTGCCTATGTAGGGCAGACATTTTTTACGACAAAAAAGCACAAAAAATAACCAAATATTAAATTATTTATGATAAATGTTTATGATAAAGTAGAAACATCACCGCAACTTTCAAAAAATATAAAACTAGAATGAAGATATGTAGCGCTTGGCATTCTATAGTATACTCTTCACAGATTTTTTAGAATCAATCCGAGTCAATCTTTGTATCCTTATAGAGCTTGATTTTTGCTAAAAAAATTTCAAGTATATATAATTTTTCTGCTGTTGGAGTCGTTTTCATGGCTCCTGTGGTACTCAGGCTTGCTTCATTTTGAATACCATTGAGCTGTCGAATGGCACCTGCTTGCCGAGTCTTTGGCCACCATACCACCTACCCGTAGTTTATCCCTTATAACTTTGGTATATAGCCATAGGGATATTTTCGGTTGTAGTATCCAATTTTTTCCACACAGCCTTCGACATAAGTTGCTCTTTTGCGTGACTTTGTGCAAGTGTTGATTCCATGTCAACCTGTCGTATGAGTGCTATGTGCCGCAGTAAAGATACTCTTTTAAATTATCGGATGACAGTAAGCTTCTAAACCTAAGAAGTCTTGTACGATTTTTTTACAGATTTTTGTTTTGAATGAAAACCGTATTTTTTATTTCCCATTATTATACATATTAAACACCCTATCACCAACAACGACGACATAATTTTTTAAACTTTATCACTCTCTTGTAAATAATATACTGTCTATTTATCTATGAACTAAACAGAAATGTAAAGTTAATGTGGTTGTGCTGCGTATTCAGTATTTCGCCTCCACCGGTCGATCGGGGTAATTCACAGTTTTAACGCGTTTCAACTAGTTTTTACACAGTAGGTTCTTTCGTTCGTCCCACTGGTGTAGGAATGAACTACACCAACGCACTCCATACCTTTCGTTTGGCCCGGTGTAAAATCCACTACACCTTCCTGTCGGCGATGTAGTGTCCACTGGTGGATATTTTCTCCACCAGCTATTTAGCAGGAGTGAATTACACTTGACATGTGAATCAGGAATAAGGAGAAAGTAAACTAGGTGAATAAAGGTGGTGTAACTGGTGTAATTTACACTGGTGAACAGTGCACCAACAGCGAACGAAAGAACCTCATGTTTCAACTATTTTTTACACGCTTGAATTTTGTTTTTTTATAGGAATATTTTTTGTATAAATTTTTAATAAAATATACGCTAGTTCGGTGTGATGTCATTTTGGTTCCACTGACATTTAATTCCAACCAAACTTTTAACAAAAACATCAATAAATTTGACATATACCTTTTTACTGTTTTTAGTTTATTTCTAAATATTGTTTGCAGGTCATAAAAAATAGTTTAAAGGTATGTAATTGGTAACTAAACGATTGTATATTTGATGCATGTTATCTACTTACTTTAGGAATATATTTATTAAAGTGAAAAAACGATATAATTTAGGCAAACAAAACGAACAAAACGCACTCAAAAAATCTACTGTCACTTTAATTGTCAGTGGAACCATAATTACATCATCACTGAACTAGCGTATTGAAATTGTTTCATTTTAATAAATATGTATACATAATTATTAAAGTCAATTGATCAATAAATGAGTTTAAAATAAAGAACTAAAAAAAGATTTTTTTAGTAGTTTTTACATAATATGCAAGTAAGCATCTGAGAAACGTCATATCTGCAGCAGCGTTACGAAAATTTAACCTGGAGACGTGGTCAATATCAGTGCGACGTTGCTAAGGATTTATTATCTGGCAAAAATCTTTCGATTTTTAGTAATTCCAGGTTTACAAAAAAATAGGCTTTGTAGAAACAAAAAGAGTTGAAATGAACATTATATTTTTTGAATAAAAATACGATTAGAGACTCGTTTTTAATTTTACTTTAATGATATATCAAAAATGCTTTTTTTATATATCAAAATTTGGACATTCTAGCACCATTCTACTCTTAATCTTCCTGGTTTTTGTTAATGCTGTCGCAACTAACTACTAATGGTTACGTACGGCTCACTTGTCTGGTTAGATAAGAGACTTCAACGGACGGCCAGAGCAAAGTTATCTAAAATTAAGCGGATTGCGTGTGTTGCCCTTACGCCCTACCCACTAAAACTCTTCCGCATTCTTGTATCGTCGTCTCGGACATTCGACTGGATGTTGGCCTGTTGTACATGGACTTCTGACATTAGGTAGTCAATCCAAGGAAGAACTGCATTGGGACAAAACGGAATCATTGAGTAAAATTTATATTCACCCACATTATCGACATGATCTCAGATTTGCTAGTTTCCCGAAAGCATATAGAATAGTCATACACCGTTCTCATTCCAAAGGGGCTATTCACCTCTTCCAGACGGACTATGCATTGTACACGGACGCTCCAAAACTGAACAAGGAGTAGAAGCAGGAGTATTCCACAAGAAGCCAAAAGTTGACATCAATAAACATTGACAATTTTGCTACGAGCACCCAAAGAAAACTGATCGCTATAGAATTGCAAGTAAGAGAATTGACTTTCCTCCTACTGGCAAAACTCGTCGTCGGAGCTGAATCACCTTCTAGAGAAGAGGAATGTTGATCAAAGGCGAAAACATTCGAGCTGAATCACCTTCCGGAGAAGAGGAATGTTAAGCAAAGTCGTAAGCATTCTCTACGACAACGCTTGCCCACATCCAGAGTATTCTCTCTAGACTATTCTCCTGCTGCCTTAGCAACAGAAGGTTGCAGTGTGTTCATACATCATACATAACCTAACATAGTCCGGACTTGGCACCCAGTGACTGACTACCCACCTTTTTCGTAAGTTGAAATAAAATTTGATCGGAAGGCTATTCACCTCCAACAGTGAGGTGAAAGATGACATTGAACATACAAAAACTGTCAGTCTACAAAAATGCATCCATCGACCGAAGGGGCGATTATGTAGAGAAATAGACAAATGTTAAACCTTTAAAATGATGCAAATATTGTAGAAAAAAGAGGATTTTTGTATTTCCAAACAATAGAAGGCCTTACTTTTGGGATTACCCTCGTTTAAAAATCTTTTACAAATCACTTTAACAACGTTAAAAATAATTATATTCTAGAAGTGCTGTGTAATCCAGTGCTTGCTGTTCTGTTTGTTAAAAAAATACGTAGGCATTTCCAATGTTTGCGTTTTTAATTAATATTAGATAACACTTACTCGGTTAAGGCGTCAATGACGTAAATTATGATTTATTAAAATCATTAAATTCTATCTAATTAATTCCACTCTCATTTAAGATGTTTCTACAATTAATAAACACCTTTGATCGTGAGCTGTCGCGCGACATCAATTTATCAATCCATAAAGCACCCGACATTATTTTGCAATTAAATTATTTCGTAATACATAATTTTTAACTGTCTTAATTTATTAGCCGTACTAAAATGTTATTAATTCAACCCCTCGATAAAAAAACTGATTTTACCAGCGAAAGTGAAAGCTATAGCAGGTCTATTTTTGCTGAAATTTTGTAGTAGTTTAATAGTTTTAATTATGTTAGTACAGGGTGCGACAGAAAAGCAGCGATTTTCAAAAGCGCGGGAGGCGGAAATCGTGCTATGTGGTTAGGGGATGGCGGGGATGCTGTCTGCATGATTCACGCACTGCTTCACACACATTAACATTGCGGTTTGCGGTGGCAAAGATGCTGTGGACCCCTCAGCATTGCTCGTGCACTATCAAAACGGTAAATCCTTCGAGCAGGCTCGTCAGTCATGCTTTCTGTCCCTAAAAAATAAATCATCCATTCGGTAGTTAAATCTAATTAATAAATGTATGATTTTTATGGTTTTAAAGTGAGTATGAAGCGAAATCATCACATTCTAGTTTCTCGAAAACCGTTGCTCTAATAATTGTTTTGAAACAAGAGTACCTTTTTGTGTGAAGAAGTAGGTAGTTTTTAATAATGATGTATTCGCGATGTCAAAAAAAATGGCAAATATGTTATTGAAAAAAAAAAAAAAAACAACATCTAACCTTTACAAATACTAGCCAAAGTAGGTAGGGTGACAGACCAAACACCAAAGTCATATAGCCTTATAATCATATCCTCCAACCCAACCAATATGCATACCAGCCAGGAAAGTCAACTGACCTAGCGCTGGACGATCTAAACAGGCTGCTTTCAAAGGCAATAGGTGTCATAGAAATCGCAATAGCCACTTTCTTAGATATCGAAGGAGCTTTCAATAATGCCTCAACTAGGTCAATAACGAAGGCTCTAGAATATATTAACGTCCCAGTCACAATATGCCAATAGAGCACTGCCAATCTAGAGAATAGGATCATCTTATTCACTCTAGGAAAGGCAACCATACAGGAAAAAGTTACACGGAGCTGTCTATAAGAAGGAATATGTGGTCAGTTCTAGTAAACGACCAACTCAAAACATTGTCTAAAGAAGGCTACCACTGCCTATGATACGCATACGACCTAGCAATTATCGTCAAGGGGCGATTTGCAGGCAGTCTCGGAGCTTTGAACATACTGAACAACTGGTGCAAAAAAACGGGTACTTACAGGACTAAGACCACTAGTACTAAATAACACGGTT